ACAACCATCCAGGCTGGAGTGAGATGGAGTCTCGGGGTTATTTGTATTTGATGGATAAGAATCTTGAACATATTTCCAAGTATTTCTTAGCTATTTGTATTTCTTCTTATGAGAACTGTCTCATCAACCTTTATATTAAAGGTGTGTGTGTGTTGGGTGTTGTAGAGTTAGCAAAGATACTTTCACATTTTCTAAGCTTCCCCTTCACACTGGTACTTGTTTCCTTTGCTATGCAAAAAAGCATGCAATCTCATTTGTCAGTTCTTCTGATCATTTCCTATGCTATTGGAGTCTCTTGATGATTCTTGATGATGCTGTGTCTTCAGTCTTTTACCCATTTTTCTTCTGGCAGGTTTAAAGGTTCAAGTCTTACATTAATGTTCTTGATCTATTTTGAGTGTGTGTGGGTGTGTGTGGGTGTGTAAGGTGGAATAAAAGGATCGAGTTTAACTCATCTACATGTGAAAATCCAATTTGCCCAGGACCCAGATGGCTCAGTTGGCCAACTGTTGGCTGTGCAAGCATGAGGACCAGTGTTTGAGTCTCTAACCCACATTAAAAAACAGAAACAAACAGAGAGCAGTAGTGCACAACTGTGATCCACACTGAGCTGCAGAGACAAGTAGATCCTGGAGCTCACTGGCCGGCCAGCACAGCACGTCTGAATTGGTAAGCTCTGAGTTCAGTGATAGAGCTAGTTTCAAAATATAAGGTGGAGAGCCATTGAGGAATATACGCGATGTCAATCTCTGGTTGCCACCAGCAGAGGCACACAAATGCATGCATGTACACATGCACACAACTTTGTGAACACATACAATACACACATGGACAGCCTTAACAAAAAATAGAGGATGCAGGGATGGAGAGATGGCTGAATAATGAAGAACACTGGCTGCTCTTCCAGAGGATCTGAGTTCATTTCCCAGCACCCACATGGTGGCTCATAACTTTCTAACTCCAGTCCCAGGGGATCCAATGGCCTCTTCTGGACTTCGTGGGTTTGCATGCACATGACACATACATACTTGTAGGCAAAACATTTATATGTATAGGAAGTGAATCCATTTCATCCTGAGCTGTGGTTTTTGTTTTTTTTCCTTTTCATTTACATGTTTATGTACTGATTACACCATTATTGTCAAGTGTGTGTGTGTGTGTGTGTGTGTGTGTGTGTGTGTGTATGTGTGTGTGTGTTTGGAATTTGAACCCAGGGCCTTTGCTATACTATATACTAAGCCTATGCTCACCTCTGACTTACATCCTCAAGTCAGGTTTATTAGCCACGAATCCTACACTATGGACGTTAGGTATTGGAGTACAATATCAAGTGCAACCCTCTTTCTTCATGATCTTCTCAGGTGTATCATGTCCAGTAGAATTAAAGCTCAGAAGCCAGTGTTGGGCTTCTAAACTACAATATCAATAGCAGTTTAGTTGATAGTTCACCATATCCTTGCCTTAGTTTTAGCATGGCGTAGATGGATCTCCGTTGAGCATACTGGAAGCAATGTTTAAGACATTTAGGGAAGACTGTGTCCATGTCCATTCTCCACTTGTACTAATGTCCTTTAAATAGCTAAAGAAAACATATCCTGGGAGCTAAGTTGTCTCAGCTGGCATGATAATCTAAGCTTGGATCCCTAGCATCTCCATATAAAAGTTGAGTGCTGGTCTGTAACTCTAACACTAAGAGAGGCAGAAACAGGCCGATACTTTGGTCATCTGGTCTACCTAAATTGATGAGCTCCAGATTCAATAAGAGATCTTACTGTGAAAAAAAGGGAAGAAGAAAAATAATAGAAAAGAAAAAGAAAAAGAAAAAGAAAGTGGAGAACAATCAAGGATGACATCTAACATCAGCCATGTGCCTCCACTTGTATACACATACACATGTACTTGACCATGTGCATATGTAGGCACAACCATACAAATACATACATGTACAAAACAAGAAAAAGCAGCCTGATAGCCAGCTAGAAATTTAGAAAACAGGTTTGTTGTTATTTCAGCAACATAGTCTCTGCTTTGGGGAGCGTTAAATGGAGATTATAACAGGTTAATGGATTTTGAGTCCTATTTGTAGGTGCCTAAAGGTCATTTGATCCATAATTCTGGGAATTTATTAAATATACTATGACTGCATGGCCAGTTTGTGGTCCATTTTGATATTTTCCCACCACATTATAATCAAGAGTGGATTCTAAATCATTAACACCAGACAAACTATAATATATTGTATGCCAGGAGCTATGCAGCTTTTGACTCATTCTGACCTTGGAGTTTTATTTTTGCTCGCTCCTTAACAGCAAGTTAATGATAAACAGGTGCTTCTGCTTTTCCAGCTTCCTCCCTGCGCCCATCCAAGCACAGAATCTTTGGAGTTGTCATTGCCCATTATTGCTTCTTGGTCTATATTAGTTTATATCAAATATTGGAACCAAAATATACTGGTGGATTTTAAATGTCCTGCTGACAGGTGGTCTTCTTGTTCCCACAGGAGGCGCCATTGATGCTGCTGCAGGAGAATGACAGGCAGCTTCACAACTCATCTAGTCATTACTGTCCTTGCCTTCTGTGGCCTCCTACCCATTCCTCTTCCATCTCATACTGTCTCTATTTGCTCAGATTTTCTTTCTTTTGTAAACATTTCGCTAAGCCTTCTAGTGTGGTTTAAAGTTTTTCTATCATTAAGAATTTAGAGATTTCTCCAGGATGTGCCTTCCTCTTTATATTTTTCATTGATTTTTCTAAAGGACAGGCCATATCCAAAAGGAAGATTTGAATGCCTGGGTCACATTGTCAAAGTTTTCTTCTGTTATTCTTTTATGACTTCATGGTTCCTCTTTTCTTCTAGACTGGCAGCTTCCTACATACTAGGACCTTTGGACCAGTTTTTGTTTGCACCTATGATTTCCTAAGAGTTTACTCTTGGGCTGGGGAGATGGTCCAGGTGGTGAAAGAACTTGTTATATATAACCACAGACTCACTGGGAGACCTTGTCTCAAAAACGAATGTGGAAAGCAATAGAGGAAGACACCTGATATCCTCTTTATACATACACGAAGATACACACACACACACACACACACACACACACACACACACACACGACAGAGAGAGAGAGAGAGAGTGAGAGAGAGAATTGCTCTTTAATTCATCTCATCTTTGACAATATGAACTCAATTTTCTTAATTATTTTCCTTGTTTTTATGTCCCACTAATGAATTTTTAAAGTAATGTCATTTTTAGTTCCAGGAAACTCTTTCTGCCGCCATGATTATATTCCCTATGGGCTTCACTCTTATTCTAGGTGTTTCCCACATTACCTCTATCTCCATTAGACAGGCTCATTTAATTGTCTACTTTCAGTTTTTTCCCTTCTAACTGTGTTACAATATTCCCACCAGTCTGTCTCTGTTCATATAGATAATGTATTGAATTTTAGCACTTCTGTAGATCTCTCTGGTCTTTGGTATAGTCCAACAAGAAGCCTTAGCAGGTAGTTACTGGCCAGGCTAGTCCTTTTTACCACATCACTGGCAAAAGGCCTGCAGTTTGAAAATCCAAGTAGAGATAGATGTTCTCAGCCCAACTTGAAAATTATCCTTCCTTGCTTGCTTAAGAGAGCCCAGCACTGCTAGCTTCTGTCACTTCTGTGAATGTGACAATGGAGACACCCCTCCTTTACTTTCTCTCTGTGTGCACTCCCAAGTTAGCTGGCTCTCACTGGGTACTCCCTTCATAATCCCCCCTCACCAACTCACAGAAACTTAAAGGTCATACTCATGTTTCCTAAAATTACTTCTTTAGAAATAAATTATGTGTGGAATTATGTGACAGTATAAAAATAGTCTGGGATGGATATGTGAATAGATAGTTTTTATAATATTTACTTGATGTTCAGAACCGGATAATTAAAAACTCATTCATATCATTGGTTATTTTTTATACTAGTGATTCTGCCTAACTTTTACTAGGTGTCTACTACATACCAGCCCCTGAAAATGTGCTTTGCATCTATAATTTCTAATGCTCCACAAGCCCCATGAATAGGTACTAATATTTCCAATATATTACAACATGGAGAATAAGCCCTTGAGGGGTTAAGAAACATAGAAACATAGCAATGTACCCAGTAAGAAGATTTGCTGCCCTTAACTGAGGAGAATGATTTGGGGTTGTTACACTTCTCTGCACTGTCAACTTCACTGGCACTGAACTCTATAAGGAAAGAGATTTTTCATTGCTTTGAATGAGAATGGTTCTCATAACTCAATATGTTTGAATGCTTTGTCCCTAGTTAGTGAAACTGTTTGGGAAGGATTTAGAAAACTGGCTTTGTTGGAGGAGTTATGATTTTGTTTTAATGGTATGTCACTGGGGGTGGGCTTTGAGGTTTTAAAAGCCCAGTCTCTCTCTTTCTGCCTGCTGCTTGCGTATCAGGTTGTAAGCTCTCAGCTACTGCTCCAGCACCGTGCCTGCCTGCCTACCGCCATGCTTCCCACCACGATGGTCATGGACTCACCCTCTGAAACTGTAAGCAAGTCCACGTGTGAATAAAATGCAGTTTCTGTCTTTCCAGAACAAGTAATATGAGGCTGGGAACACAACCGGATTGGTAGAGTACTTGCCTGTCATGCATAAAGCCCTGAGTTCGATCCCCAGCAGCATATAAACTGAACATAGTGGTGCACCTCTCTGAAAAGAATATTATAGTTGGGAGTCACAACAACTTGAGGAACTGTATTAAAGGGTCACAGCACCGGGAAGGTTGAGAATCTCTGTTCTAAAGGGAAAGCATACATATTTGCAATTGTATATAATAAAGTGCTACTGCTTTCCAATGTACAGGCAAAGTACTCTGGAGCCACACATGACAACATGTCATGTTTTCTAACAGCGTCATGAATCTTTCTCTCATTGGTCAACCGTCACATGACAAAATAAAGACTGCTTTAGAGCTTTTTCTTTATCAGAAAGTTTATTGCATTTATCTATAAACCTACTTGGCAGAATAAATGACAGCAGGGGCTGGGGTGTAAAAAAAAAAAAAAGAAATGACAGCAGAACCAATGCTGAGGAGGTTTGTCATCTTTGGAAAAGAGAGATAGCCTAACACTCAAAGCGTTAATTTTGTTTGCCATTACCAAGTAAACCAGACTGCAGTTGGAATTTTTTCCTTTTAAAATATATAGAGATACTTTGCAATTTGGTCATATCAAAACAAAACTGAGACAAAATAACGAACAGGGCTCTATGGGGGCAGCTTGCTGTGTGTCGTCCCCTGCTTCGTAACCAACCACTTCACACCAAGCTTCTGGACATGTCCATGGCATTAAAACTTTAAAATAAAAATAGCCCTTAAGTGTTTCATTGAAATACTAAGGACATGTTACCCAGAGATGGAACATTCATTATTTTAAAACCACAGCCCCCAAATTAACTGTTATGATTTTTGTCTTATTTGAACTGTAGAGCTCTAATAGCAATGTGAATTAGTGGTGGTATTATGACACTTATGTTTGACTTTGATTTTTGGTTGAAAACAGACCGACCACTGTTACAGCCCACTGAGGTCCAAATGACCATATTTCCATAGAATAGCCTGCATTTCTCTAGTCAGCGGTCACTATGCTGATGGATTTGGCTATGGCACCCTGTGTTGCTCTGTTACAAGCTTCTAAGGTCAGTTTTTCTGTACCTGGTCCATACCCACAGAAACATTGCTAAACACATTGAATTCTGGCTGCTACTAGTACTCTACAGGGAGGGGCGCATGTCTAACACTGTGAATAATTATGAAAATTTCCTTATCATACAACTAACCACAATTATCATATTCTCCTAACGAAAGCAAGTATACGTGTTATCACTTGGACAAGTTTGGATGAAACGCTGTACAAATGCAGTGAACGAGAGAAATTTTAAAACATTGACTTCTAGCAAAGAGTAGTGGCTGGCGTCACATTCTCATACGGCTGTCTCATGCAAGGCCTCGCTGACTCATTCGGTGCATTTTTCTTTCTGCCACAGGAAACTGGAGAGAGATTACAGCAAAACATCTAGAAAATAGATTTTTCCCCAAAGACAACGAACGTGGGATTTATAATGTCTGAATTCTGAAGTGTTCTGACTTAGGAAAAGTCTCACAGAAACTGCTAGGTAAGTGCTGCCTTAGATCCAGGGCAGGACAACGGCTTGTGTTAGGATGTGGGTCTAGGATACAGGTCTCAGTCGGACTCTACAGAGTAGCTTGCTGCTGCCGGCCATTTGGAGTCTTCCTCTGCTCCGTAGGCTTTCCTTGTAGGCCTTTGCATACAAAGCTTTCTTTTTTCCCCCCAAATGGTAGAATGAAAGATAAAAACTGATCTCCAGAGAGTAACAGGGAACCTCAAACTTACCCTCATGCTCAAAAAGAAAAAGGGCAAGTGCTCATCTTTTTTGTTTATTTATAACCAGGAAGGACTCCTGTGGCTGCTAACCCATGTGTCTGTCTGACGTTTGTTCCCTAGGGAGCAGTCAATGCTTAACTACTGGGAAAAAATCAATTGTTTCTAAAGTATGCTCCAGCTAATAAAAGAGAAACTGCCCTAAGTGTGTTTGTAGCAGATTTATTATTCACCTGACCAAATTAACCCATCACGACAGACACAGATATAGCATGCAAAATGACTGGATGTTCCCCGTGGAAGACTGACCAGGACAATACTTTATGGCTTCTGCTAGTAGACAGGCATGGAGCAGGCCGTTATCAATGGACTCCAGCAGAGGGCCACGAAGGGTTTCCTATCTTTAGAACATCAGCGACTGCAGCATTCTGTTATGATATTACATCGCCTTTCCCCTCCTCTGCGGGCTCGTGTGTGGCAATGCTTTCCCATATCACATTGGTGTTCTCACGAGATGAAAGCCCTGGGGTAAAGATGTGTCTGCAATAGTGTGCGCCGGGCAAGCCTCTGTTCTGCAGCCTCTGTCTGCAGGAAACAGCCCACATTGAAACCAATACAGGATGAGTTCTAGTCATGCCTGCATTTACTACAAAAAGTGTTCCAGTTTAGATGGTCAGTTGTCAACAACCGTGATGGAAGTCTTTAGTACCGTCACCTGTAGTATCCACTCCTTCCTGAGTTTAACCACAGAAAGAAGAGCTCCACTGTGGACTCTAGAAAGTTCCATTCCAGTGATCTGCTGTGTACCTATGGCTACTATACTATTGTAGGAACAGCCAGTTTAATAGGTCCAAATTGTATATTTTCATTTCCTCCCTCCAAAAGAAAAACAACGGATTTGTATCGAGCAAAAAATGAATGGCAATGACGCAACAAACAATGGCCACGGCAGATTCCTGCAATTTAACAATCCAAACACTATCAAACACAGAATATACAACTTAATGAAAATACAAACTAAAGGGGCATAGGTACATGTCACATTAGCAATGCAAAAGGCCAGCTTAAGCATAGTTTCTCTAAATCAACAATTAATAAGGAAAGTGCCCTTTTCCCAAATATGACCAAAAATATTTCAATCGCTTCTAGGGAAAAATTAAGGGTAACAGTCCTCTAAGTCTATATTACAGCATGTATTACTAAAGGTTTATCACACCCAAGCAACTTACACTTAAATGTACACCCTCTGACACTCCTCACACACTCACTCAATCAAAAATAAAACAATTGCATCTTTGTATTTATGAATAACTGATAAGGTGTGAATCTGATGTGTAAATATGCATGGCGGAGACAGCAATTAGAATGATGTCATGAATCTAACATGGGCCAAAGGTCAAACAGAAATATCACATTTATGCATTGGTTTCTCCAATGCTTATGCTATATCTAAAATAATTTTAATTGTACATTTCTTGTTCTAAAAACATTTTGCATTTAGATTTGTTCCCATTGCTAGTGCTTATTAGAAGTTGACGCAATTTTACTGCCCAACGGACTTCTTCCTCCAATGATCATACAATGCCTACGAAACTGAGTCCAAATGGAAAAACATGCAGGAGGACTCAGGACTATGTTCCTTGCCTCCTACATGGTTAGTCATTTTCATCGTCATTAAGTAAATGTGTGGTAACCTGAACAATCCTAGGGGTGTCTCTGTGGTGTCAAGGACAACATATCGATTCTAATTTTCCAGGGATAATTACAGTGTCCCCTCAAGCCTGTGTCTCTGAAAGGTTTTGCCAAGTTCATCCCATCAGCTAACATCTTAAAACAGCTCCTAACCTAACCGCAATGCGAAATGGTGAAGTTCTCTCCTTCCAGACCACCTGTTTGCAACACACCGTGCTGGGCGTCGGCCTCAGCCTGGAGCTTTCTGGTATGTGTCCAACAACTGCTTCTTGGATTAGTTCACTTCATCTGCAGCATCAGCTGGGAGATGGCAACCTCAACAGCGGGCCTGGAAAGAGTTCCAGCGCTCACCCAGAAGACCTTGGATGTCATTCACTGCTGCCGCTGCTGCCGCTGCCACTGCTGCTGCTGCTACTGCTGCTACTGCTGCTGCTATTGCAGCTGCCACTGCCACTGCCGCCACCACCACCACCATCCTCTGTCTTGGGGGAGGATGAACTGTCCCTTACTGGCAGCAGGTCATAATGGCAAGGGATGTGACTGTTCTTTGGAAGGTCATATGGATCTTGGGTGAGAGGACCATTATTGCTGAATACTCCTTGAACAATGCTCACTGTAGGTTCTGTAATAACCAGCAACAAAAAAAATTATCAGCAAGGGAAATTTTTTTTAAAAGATGATGTCCTTTCTTTCAAATATAAAACACAACAGAAGTACTTTATAAAAATCTACAGAAATAGTTTTTTTTTTTAAAAAAAAATTGTAATCTTACAGAGACGAGAACTCTATTGTTATCGGCACCCAGAAATAGTATTCAGAGAAAAGGATGTGGAAATAAAGAAGATGTGCAGAAACCACAAATATGAACCATTGTCTCAAAATACCTTGGGAATAACCTAACCCAAGCCCCTGACTCTACAAGTAAAAGTGTTCTTGGAGGTTGCCTCAATTTATGGAAACACTCAACATGTTCACAAAGTTAGCTTTTAAACACTGAGCTGAGTTCTTATCTTATTGTGATGGGCTTAAAGGACAGTTGGGGGATGCCATTACTGACAATAAATAAATAAATACATGCTTACATACATAATATATAATACATAAATAAATAAATTTACTGATATATAATAAGTAAATTAACAAGATATTTTATATATATCTATGGACAGAGAGACTAAGATAAATATACCTACTATCTAGTCAACATTGGCGGCAATATGTTTTATTTTTTCCCAAATGACATTCACAGAAGGCACTGAGACTAAGTATAATTTTGTATTTAATTACTCCTAGTTCATATCAGATTCATATGAGACTACATCTGACTTATTAAGTAAGTTTAAAATAAAAGTATTCCAGTTCTGCTAAAAGCATTGTGTTAATATCATGGATACAGCCAGGAAATGGAGCCACCTGTTTGGTCCACTCGAGCCGTATGCTTTGACTTACCCATGGTCTTAACTAATATATGGTTCATATGCTCCTTCACATGGGTGCTAAAATATTTACCATGCTTGTAAAATAAAAGATGATGGCCATGTGGAAAATAAGAGAAATAAGTTTTAAATTGCTAAATGCCGTATCCCTGAAAAATTCACTTCATATCAATGAATATGATCTTTGTAAAACACAGTCGTGTATAAAACACGGGCTTACTTAGAATTGTCTCAAACGCGGTCTTATGTCAAGGTTCTTTAAAATGTGGGTAGAGAACTCACCAACTTCGTAGACATTCCTGTTGGCCGAAGTTGAGTTATTGATCTCCGCATATGGGGAGTCTCTCCGTGCAGGTGACTTCATCTCCACATACCCACACTCGGAGCTTTTAGGCAAGAGTGCAGGTGGGTCTTTAATTGTGGCGTACGGGTTTTCAGAGCTGTTTAGGGAACAGTTACTGGAATTATAGTCAGAGTTCTTTCCCAGATCTGAGAAGGAAAAGGAAAGGAAAGGAGTAAGTGTGGTTCGCAGGCACCATACTTTCTCGGTGGTAATTTCCTTGGGCAGATTACTTCATTTGCTTTCCGGGTAGGTTTCTCTAATGGTATATGCTAAAAAACAATGTGCACTTTCTACTTATTTTGAAGACCACTTGCTATAAAATTGCCCATCTATAAAAGTAATTTTAACTCCCCTCTAAGGCGATTGCTAAGAAAAATGTCATGGGGTCTGGTTTCATTTCGATGATCACATTCAAAGACAATTAATTCTGTTCTGACACTATGAGGAAATTTACTAGGTAAAATTACTAGGTAAAGCCTTTAAATCAGTAATCAGGAATTAGGACCCAGAAACACAGGCTATTTCTAGTATCCCTGAAAGAGGGGCATTTCTGCCATGGAAACTCTCTGTAAGCCTTCGGCACTGGATAGCATATTGCTCAAAGCCGTTGTGGAGGGCCGCTGTTAATCACTGGTCCTGGCTTACTGCCAGCTGCTTCCCAGTCCACGTTTGTCTTTGCCCAGACACTGTTTCCCTCCGGAAACTGGAACGTTTACTCCCTCAAACAGATCTGCCTATCGTCAGTCCCTCCATGTCCCCCAAACATGTTGGTGCCTTATTCCAGTGACTGTCACATGGAAAGGTTCAGGTCATCTTGGTTAACTCCACGTTAGCTTGTTTTAAAAACCATTTCAGTCTCTGAGATACGTCTTCAAATCTACACCGTACCTTTTAAGGACTTCCCCATGTAACTTCTCTCGAGTCCGAAAGTGCCTGTGAGGGAGAAGGGAAACCCAGCCCGTGAGGACGGAAAGAAAAAGGAAACAAGCCCCACATCTCAAATCATGGCAGATGATTGCCCCAAAGTGAGCCACCATGGCTCTGCTCTGAAATCTCTCTACCCCATCAATCATGCCAGGGCCTGGATCCTAGTGGGCAGTAGGCATGGATGCACACGTCTCATCCTTCACCTGCTTGTTTGCAGGGTTTGGGGAAAGGTCGATGAATGTATGTAGGGACAGAGGGACAAGCAGAGAGGAAACGGCAAACCTGAACCAAGGCTGAATAATGTGAAGCATGTAGTCAAGGCTAAACCCGAGAGGTCACCCTCTAACAGCTCCTCAAGGCTCTGCTGGCTTTCACACCCCTTTCTCAGTAACTAGGATTCAGTTGTAGCATCATATCTGTTCGAAGTGCGTTGACTTTAACACTTTATCAGTCAATGCTAGAACCTGACCATTTTTATTAACTTTTATTTGAAATTGTTGACTTTGTCAGGTTTCTCGGGGGTGGCCATCTGTAGAGGAGTCTACTTAGACAAAACAAGTAGTTGTCTTGTTTCCAAATATCTGAACTTCATGGAGGTGGCTGTTGGTTTGGAATAAATCGCTCTGCTCACCCTGGTAAAAATAAAATCTGTTGGTGGTGAACATGCGCAAACCCTGAAACCAATAAAGCTGTAAGCACCTTCAACAGCATCAGATTGTAATCACCAATCCATAGCATCCAGATTCCTGAGAAGACACAAAGTCTTGTCTGGTCCTCTTTTTTTTTGGCCATCTTGTGTAAATGCTATATTGCCCTTCTGGTGCTGAACAGGAGACAAGGATCACACTGGAGCCATCAGGGGCAAGAGGAAAAGGCAGGAGCCAAAGCTCTTAACTTCTCTCACTTCCTAGGGGCAGAACTTTAGGGCTTAGCTCCAAGTGTCAGTCTTCTCATCTCCAAAGCCTGCACTCCGGTCTTATGTAGCTATTCTCAGCATTAAGTGCAATAGAACACACACACACACACACACACACACGCCTTGCAGACTTTGAAGCACCATATACATGAATGGAGTTTCAATTACTGTAACACTTAAGTTGTCAAAACACCATCAGCATCAGCCCTTCAGGACATTTTTTTTTCAATCTTTCAAAGCAATGTTAAGGACTTAGTTAAAAGCAGAAAGGGGGAAGGAAGAGAGGGGAGTGGAGGGAGCGTGAGATTGGGGTAGCATTCCTCCATGGCTTCTGCCTCAGGTTCCTGCTCTGACTTCTATCATGGATTGTACCCTGGAAGAGTGAGATGAAAGAAACCCTTTCCTCCTCTGAATGGTTTTTGGCTAAAGGTTTTTCATTGCAGCTACAGAATGAAACCGATACAAAGGGGGTGCACACATGCTCCTTCCTGGATTACCAATCTTCCTCCAACTAACGAACAAACTGCACTGTGTGCTTGATGGTGTATCCCAGAAGCTGGCACCCACAATTCCTGATCAGGAGGTCCTCAACATTAAAACGATTTCCTAGTAAAATGGTATCACTTGCTTGTCCTTTTAACTCTCTTTCAGGTGTGCAGAGGGGTTTCCCTGAGGCTACACAGGGTGTGCTCCACAAACAACTGGCTACAGAACAGATGTGAGAATTTGGCTATTTGCTCTTAAGCCAGACAGGAAATAGAGCTACAAGGCAAGTCTTCTCATTAACCTTCACGGGAAGAGGGAAGGAGAATGCAGTTTTACAATATGCTCTTAGTGAATTGAAATGAGATTATTATTGCCAATTAGCTAAAATAACTCTGTTTTAAGTTTCTCAATTTTTAATTTGCAATATGGTAACTATCAAGTAGACATAGTCTACAACAGCAGGGGTCCCTTTGGGGTATTCAAATAAATATGTAAGTATATAAATCCATCCTGATTGTAAAAAGCTTATGGACCACTAATCTCATGACTGTTTCCACACCTGAAAAGGGGGAGAGACGTTGAAGGTGGCATTCAATGTAAGAGGTAACACGCTGTCTTTTTTTTTCCAAGAGGATCCCACATCATGGTAAAAACTGACAGGGTTCAAAGGCCAGTTCTAACAGGTTTTCAAAACATGTTCCTGGGCCTTGTGGAAATCACCCCAGCTTTTTCTGGTTCATTAACTGTCACACGGAGCTGAGAACTACCTCTCAGAACTCTGGTGAGAACTGAGCTAACGTGGATGAAGTTCCTAGCAGGCAGAGATGCTTGTCTGTCAATTCCGGAGCAACGTAATAACTCAGAAAGTGATCATTGAACAAATAAGACGTTAAGGCTAGTAGTAAGCCCTATAGAGGAGTTAGACCTAATTCCGTTATTTAGGCATGCTTCTGGTGGATAGCTACAGCGTGCGTGCACACTGCAGAATGGGCTCTTAGACTGTCGAGAATGCGCATGCGCTTGTGGGCCTCACCAAGCTCATTGAGGTAGCCACCTTGCTTCCAGTCGGCTGGCAGCGTCCCCGTGCAGTCCACCAAGGCACCTCTCTTCCCTGGATTCTCGTTTTTAAGATTCACAAAGAGTTGGTTGTTTTTCGACTAGGAAAAGAAAAACCCGCTTTAAGAGGAGACCACACTGGGGAAAGCAGTTTCAGGGTTAACGGTGAGGCCCTTCCCTCAAGGGACGGGAGGGGAAGGGAGAGAGAGGTGAGGGGACCCATTCCTGGCTGAGTGGACATTTCTCAGTACTTCCGAAGGGCTTCATTTCACACTATCACTTTTTACCAATTAGACTTTATCTGAGCTATAAATGAAGAATTTGAAAGAAAAGAATTGTGGGTCTGAGTTCTATCAGTCTCCATGACGCTGTGGGTCCCCAGCGCCTTGGCCATACTGCTAAGCATGCGCATGTGCATGCGCATAGGAAGCTGTACGAGATGGGGTGGGATGATGAGCATCCATCTGGGCAACGCGAGGTTCTATTTAACACTCAGACGCCACTGTGAAAACCCAGCAGTGTCAATAATGGCAGTGGATTAAATTAATTAACTTTAATTCCCCCCTTCTTTTGTTCTGTTCCTTCTTTCCCTAAGAGAGAGCTGGACAGAAGATGGAACCTGGGGACAGTGGGAAGGTGAGTTTGGAACTCAAAGCATCCTGGGAGGTCGCAGAAATACAGGTGGTCAGAAAGGATTGATGTGGTGATTTCACAATAAGTCTTTATGCTTTTATTTATTTATTTATTTATTTATTTATTGGTGTTTTGAGACAGGGTTTCACTGTAGCTTTGGTGCCTGTCCTGGAACTAGCTCTTGTAGACCAGGCTGGCCTTGAACTCACAGAGATCTGCCTGCCTCTGCCTCCCGAATGCTGGGATTAAAGGCGTGCACCACCACCGCCTGGCCAGTCTTTATGCTTTTATTACCATCATTATGATCAAACATTGTTTTAATCTCAGGTAAAATTAGGAACAAAGTGAGGCCTGTCGGTGAGGAGGCTTTAATGTCCACAGCAACAGCGGAAGAGGCTGGAAGCCATTATTACTTAGGCCCCGGTGAGTTCCCTGGAGATGCTAAGACACACTCAGAGGCTAGTTTAGGAGAATCGGGTGTGCACAATGCATGAAATAACTATAGCAGCAGGGTGAGCTGCAGCCCTCATGACTGTGTTCCTTACCTCCCCTCCCCACTTTCTGATTATTGGGGCATTTTTGTTTTCGCTCACCTTGGCAATGGTCATCCTGTCCCTGTTGTTGACATGAGGGGATGTGGCACACTGGCTGAGTGTGTGGTAGCTGGGGTTGGTGAAGTAGTGGCTGTTGGCATTTCCACCGTTGCTGTGGGGCAGGGTTTCTGCAAAAAGAGAGGAAAGGGTTAATTGCAAACGACAGTACAGATGTTTCCATCTCCTGCCCAGCCTACTCTTCAAAGCCCCTGGAAGAGCAGATGCCCACTACTGCCTCTTTGGAAATTGTGAAGGCATTGACGAAAGACCGTTCTTAGCTTTGGGGCCTTAGTTAGGGAAGAACAGAGACAGCATCACTTGCAACAACACACCTGTACCCACCTGCATCATTTAAAACACTTGATTCTTGACATAGTAGTTCTGCACTGAAAATATACTCATATGTAAATTTCCTATTTTGCATATTCTCCCAGAATTATAATATTTATAAGCCTATCACCAGGGTCCTTCAGTAATTGCTCAAGACTGAGTAAGATTGTCAGTTTCTTCAGTTTAAGAGTTTACTTCTTTTGAAGGTTGAATGGATTCACAAGAGGCTTTTATAATGGACTGCCTTGGTTCTCGCTAATACCTCAGGCTTGTCTCCTGTATAACTAGGCTCTCAACAGTTACCGATATGTGCAAGTGCAGAGCCGGAGGGTGCCGGCAGAAGCACACACACCGGAAAATGTACCGTCTCTCCTTTTCTCCTCCCCACTCGTATAGGACAGAATTTGGGATTGGCTGTTCAGCAGATTCTATCCACAAATGAAATTGCCTAAATACAAAGCAACCATTCATCCACCCCAATTTAAAAATCCTCACAGAAGGGGTGAAAGGTGGCTAAGTGGTTCAGGGTGCTTGTTGCTCTTCCAGAGGACCCAGGTTCAATGCCAAGAGTCCAAGCACACATATTGGGTGGCTCACAACCATTTGTAACTCCAGCTTTTCTGGGGATCTGACTACTTCTTCTGGCTTCAACAGGTACTTGGATACATACAAGCAACACAGGCATGCATACACACATGCATGCACATACACTCACACAAACAATAAATCTTTTTCAAAAGCCTCTGGCAAAACTGAAAGTGGTAATTTTACTATGGGTGAATTGTAAACCCCATCTCTAGGCACATGGACCTCTTCTGAATGCATGGTCACCTCCCGGAAAACAGCCAGACACAATGGACACCAAATTCCTGAGTGAAGCAGGCAAAGCCTAAATTTGTGAGGCAGGACATGCCGCCCTGCGCTGCAGTCCTACCCGCAATGGTATAATCTGCATTGATGACCCTCATGGCAGGGGTGTAGGTCACCGCCGGCATGCTGGACTCCTTCCTCTTCTGCTTGTGTCTGTAGATAATGAACAGTGCCAGCAGGAAGAGCACCACAAGGACCAGGATGATGATGCCCGCGATGGCGCCGATCTGATAGGAATCAGCGGGAAGGGCGGTGCTGGTGCGGCTTAAGCTGTTCAGGTTGCCCACAATGATGGCACCAGCTGGGAGAGAGCAGAAACAGGCTGAGTGGGGATGACGGTGGGTGTTATAAAGCTCTGCTTTCTACTTAAAAGAAAGCATACACACTCCCACTGGCCTAATGCCTGGGTGTTTTCACTCCATGAAACACCAATTTGGGAGCAGAGCAGGGGAAAAACAGACGTTCTTCGTTTTCAGATGTTGTTGGTGCCTCTGTTCCTGACGCTAAGCCCCCAGGAGACAGGGTCTGAACCCTGAGATTCAGGAGCAGTCGTGTATTTCAGATTAAACACAGACTGGCAATTAAGCATGGATAATGATTTATCTAATTTCTGTTTTGCTTTACATATTATCAATACTGATCTTACACAGGAATAAATCCTAAATGTCCACTTGTCTAACTCAAACTTTCACTTATATTTAACATTTTTTTTTTTGAGACAGAGTTTCTCTGTAGCTTTGGAGCCCATCCTGGAACTAGACCAGGCTGGCCTCGAACTCATAGAGATTCCCCCGTCTCTGCCTCTTGAGTTCTGGGATTAAAGGCGTGCAGCCCCACCACGGCTTATCTTTAGAACTTTTAAGAGTGATTTACCTTCTAAACCAGCGCAGTTCCAGTATAACCCTAGAGCCAAGGGCCTCTTACTGCTAGAGATACTGTCCTCTGAAAAGCTATTTTGAATAGCAGAAAGAGTTCTCATGATCGTACCTGATAACAACACCTGAACCTTTATTCCTTAGACTCAGAATTCCTGGTGGAAGTCATATGCAGAACAACCAGGATAACACACTCCAAGGGCCCTCTACCCTAGAGAGCCAGAACTGCCCAAGTGTGTCCATGGAAAGTCCATGTGACAGATAATTCCAGAATTATGATATATACCCCAGCTAAAGCAGCATAGACACAGTTTAAAAGTTAACTATAATACTGCTGCTTTCTACTTCAGTCACTCTCTTCTGGTGTGCTTAACCCCGAAAGAGTGAAACCACGTGCCATGCGAAGATGGGCACTCATTGCTCTCCGCAGCCTTAGGAGCAGCCAGCACTGAACACTTCCTGATGTCCACAAGTGTGGTAGATCTCTTCAGTAGAATACTGGCAGCAGCAAAAGAACGGAACTATTGATCTGCTTAAAAACACATTTTTAACTTCAAGATATTTATGGTGACTAAAAAAAAAAACAGGTATGAAAAGAGTACCATGTGATTCTGTTCACATGAAATTTTAGAAAAGTGGAAATAGTGGCAGAACGATCAGAGGTGGCCTGCAAACCCGTGAAGAGGTAGTGGAGAGGGCCGTGAGTCAGCAGAGTGATCGGTATTACCTTGATTGTGGTGGTTGCTTCAGGGATATATACTGACTTCAGAAAACTGTGGTTAAACGTATATGGTTTTATATGTCAGTTATGCCTAAATAAAATCTAAAAAGTTCGTGAATTTTAGAATAAGAAAAGCATGACATCAAAGCTGTGACATTCTGAGCATTGACTCTGTGACCTTGGGGACACTGTCTAACTTCCGTAACGTTGACCCCGTTTCCTTATCTATTAAAGGCAGCAAAAGCAAAACATCTGCCCAGCAACCACATAACTAACCAGCTAGGCCATATGCGCTTCCATGAGGCTAACCCAAGATAACCCATGTGAGAGTACTTAATACTGGTGTCCGCGGTGGCACACACTGAGAGGCTGTCCTTGTCATTTCCTAGTGCTTTACCTTGATCACAGCGTGCTCCTTTCCATCCTGGGCTGCAGTAGCAGGTGCCAGTGATGTGGTCACAGGTGGAGTTGTTCAGACAGTCACAAATCTGGCGACAGCCATAGCCGTATGTTCCCGCCGGGCATTCTGGGAAGGAGATAAGCCATATTTTTCAAATTTCCCAAGGGAATGAAACTATACTTCCCAAGTCTTGAGGACCCAGACCAAAGCTGTCTTTGTCGGTGTGCTGTGTGTATCAGGTGCTGAGCCCCATCCTGGGGCTGTGACCTGTGCCACCCGAGGTGTGGGAAGCCAGATGGTGTTTCTTGAGCCATGGTGGGTTCGCAATCCTGCTGCTCAGGACTGAGCCAGTCAATATCGTGGCTCAGCTCCTAACACATTTAACTGCTGAATGCCCCACTTCTTTGATAAATATAGAGTGTCTATGGGGCGCCCATGGAACCAATGAAAACATAAAAATCAAATTGATGTGGCTCCTACATTCAGATCTGTGGGTCAGAGGAAATGGGACCCAGCAGTGTAAACTAGAGATAATCCCTAGAGAGCACACATATTTTATGTAGTCTCTGGAACTCCTCTAGAAGATACGTTCTCACTTGGGTTAGCTCTCATTAGGAGCAGTTTGAGTTATATTCTCAGTAACTGTTTCACTTGACATAGAAGGCCCCAGTGTAGATTCGGAGTCTAACACAGTACGACTCTTACGCTATGCTCTAATTTAAAAGAAGAGTTCAGGGGATGGAATTTAAATCTGAACATCTTCAACGCAGATGTCGTTTGCAAAATGAACAGCAGGGGGAGATGTGTCATCGCTACCAGGTCTGGCAACCAGGACTCCTGGTTTTAAGCACTGGGAGTGAGCTTCAAAAACAACGACACTTTAATCACTGTAATCCACGTCCAGAGAAATCATGGAAACACTGGAGAGGTTTTTCTTAAGAAAACCATAACTGGTTGCCCGGAATTTGCTTGCGCGTCGATGTAGAGCCTGTGCTGATTTCTAGGTCTGGGTTTAGCAGGCATAGAAACCATTATACACACAGGGATTGCTACACATGCAACTCGCTGTGACTCTGTATTTCTTTTATGATTACCGGGAACAGTGACATAAGACTGACATTGTCTGAACGGGCTCTGGGGGGCTCTTGCTGTGTTTGCAGGAGGGAGGTTCTGCACAGACATGCCATGCATCCGCACTTAAGGCTGAGACCTCTGAGTGGCGCGGGTTCAGTAAAGCTGGGCTGGAAAGGAGGAATGCTGATTCCACCCACTTGTCCAGGTCATTCCATCTCGGCACCAAGTCATCTTGGGGGCCACCTTCCCAAGAATAAACTCGTTGGTCAGTGGTACTCTCTCATTTTTTCCTGCCTTGGGGCCTTTAGCATCAGAGAGTGGGCCGCACACAGCTTGGGCCTTTCTTGCTTCATCTTCAGTACTGAATAAAAGTCAGAGGAAGAGAATAGTGTGTTGATCTTACATACTCCATTTGAGGTTAATAGTCTTGCAACCTTGGGAGTGAGGGTGGCAATCGAAACAACAAAGATGGGGGTTCCTACAGTATATTCTCCCTGGGTGAGACTACAATCAAACACGTAAAGGCACTGTGTCCTCTTGAAGATTAAGACCCAGATGAAAATTTGATAGTGGAAAGAGTAAAAAAGTCACTATCAAAAAGGTGGCAACATTTGCCTGGAATCATTCCCATGCCCCAGGCCCTGGCACTTCTCCCTAACCAGCGTTCTGTCCCCCCACGTAAGTCTGGATTCACAGCTGCCATGAAGCGAGGCACCATCTCCATTAAGGCTCCAAGGCATCATCTTCCAAAATTATGAGAAGGAGGAAAAGCCAGGAAAGACATAATGGAAAAGTTGAACCTGCCTTCATTCTTACAGACTTCCCCCTTCGCTGGGTGTCACTCAGAATCTGGAGGAAAGACAGCAGCCAGCAAGGATTCTGGCGGGGAGGACCTGAGATGGGGAGTGGGCTGTGCTGGTAACCAACCATCACCCAGACAACTGGAAAAAGTAGCAGCCATGCTGCCTGTGCATCTCTGGCCTTTGAGAAAGGTGACCAGGTGCCCAGTGAGGTCAGTACTCACTCTGCTCACAGTGCCGTCCCATGAATCCCGTGCGGCAGGTACACTGCCCTGAGATGTGGTCGCAGTCTGCTCCATTCTGACACAGGCATATCAGTGCACAGTCCTTGCCGTAAAACCCCAGAGGGCATCCTGTATGAGGAGGGAGGGCAGAGGAAGTCAGAAGGAGGCCTGTGAGAAACAAGGCTCCTGCTTGCGCGGACTCAGGGTTGAACTTCAAGGACTAGAAATACCGTTGGAGAGTAAAGCATTCCCACGCACCTCAGCAGTCACAGGGCTGCTTGGGAGTCTCAAGTCTGGGCTCCTGCAAGGAGATTGCACTCCACAAGCCAGAGGCAGGAGAGTTCCCTAGCTGTCCGTGTCAAAATCACTGGTGTCTTCCCGCAAAGCTCCATGGAGCCCAGGAAGGGTGTGGTATTTATTATCTTTATTCTTCACTCAGTTTCTAGTTCCCTGGATTTGAGTTCCCCAGACTGAAGTGAGTACTTTGTATTTTGGTTGTCTTGTAGAGTTGCTGTTATAATTCGCTCAAAAAGATTCAGATTCTTCTACTAGCCCAGTCCACCGTGTCTGTTTGTCACTTAAATCATATCATCACCATTATCAAATACATGTGGCAGAGTGCTTAAGGAGAAGACAGCTGTGTCTCAGAGGTGCTTTGAAAAGTCCTTTAGGTCTTCACGCTACTACACAGCTTCTAAGACGTACACCACCAGAAACCTGGGATAGAACACACACGTGCATATGCACGCATGCGCGCACACACACACACACACACACACACACGCTCTTGGCTTACATGCATCAGCAGCTGCTCTCTAAGACTGCTTTAGCACCATAAAGGCTTCAGTACAGGCAGATTCCTCGGTTGTTTCCAAATACTGTACACGCCTTTTATTTTGCCATTTAAGGAAAGCTCGGATTTTCAGGAGCGGGGATGGCGCCCAGACCTCAGATGCCAGCTCGTAATGATAGCCCCATATCCTACGTTAGTTTGACACCACACTCTGCACCAGATCCTCTGCGTTCATTCTGTCATTTGATCTTTAGCGGCCTAAAAGTACAGAGGTGGGCCTTCCTATGCTGCAGATAAGAACTAAGCCTCGAGTAGCCCAAGTCTGGCAAACGGCAGGCGGAACTATGGTCAGACCAGACCCTTGCAGGTACCGCTATGTTGTGCTCTGTCCACTTTAAAGGGTCCTCTGTTTAAAGTCGTGCCTACCTATGGAATTATAAATGATCTCTATGTTTTTTCCTAAGGAGTTCAAATACCTTTATGGATACACAATCTGTAGAGAATCGCATTCAAATTTGCCCTTGCCAATTCTGTCTTTCAAATCTTGGGTCCATAGCCATCTCTCCTCCTAGAAACTTCCAGAAGTCTTCTTCCAGCTATTCTCTATCACACTTACTGATTAGTACTTAATAGGAATTACCTACTTCCTAACTCCTCTCTTTTCCCTCAACACGGCTGTCATTTAAAGTTACGCTACTGTTGATAATAGCCGTAACAAATGCCTTCCTGGCTTGTCACTCCACTTAACCGAAAGCTGTAGGCATTTCTCCATAATGTGTTTGTCTGGGGGATGCTTGGACATTGTACCTTATGATTCTAAAAACCACATGGGGAGAACTAAAGGACAGTTTGAGTACAGGCTAGGAGTAAGAACTAGAGAAATGGCTTTGAAAACATGATCCTGGGCTGACATTATGACCAATGGACAGAAACACAGATTCACAGACACCCTGAATCAGACACCACGGGAGGCGGGCCAGGCATATGGAGTTGGTTGATTCCTGTAGGTAAACTTCATTTTCTCTGTGGGCACACAGTACGCTAACCTATAAGGTGTGTGTCTCTTCTTACTTCCTATTCCCTATCATGGATCCTCACATTTGTATATTCAGAAGAAATAAAAGCATTTCACACACAGAAATACAGTATGATAAAAAGGAGAAAAGGGACATGGATTACACGTTAGAAATGAATTACATTCACAGCTTGCTCCACCTCACTGTGCTCACAGAAGCTAGCTGGAGGAGACCTGGTTTGTGGGGGTTCTTAAACACTCAGAGAGAGGACACTGAGTAGGCGTCACACATGTGGGAGGAGCCCTCACTGACCTATCATGATACATGCAAACAGGGAGGATATTTCCTCTGTGGCTGTGCCCCCGCCCCCTGATGACATCCTCCTTGCTTACTCTGCGTGCAGTAGAGCCCCGTCCATCCTGGAGTGCATTTGCATTCCCCGTCATAGGCGCTGCAAAAGGCTCCGTTGTGGCAGTTGCAGGTGTGGATGCAGTTGGGACCCCAGTGGGCAGGCGGACAGGCTGAAAATCACAGCAAGTGCGGAGAGATGACTTGGAGTCTCCAGGTCAACACCAAGCAGAACATTCCACCATCTCCCAACCTTCTTCAAAGTGCTAGGTTCATACCACTAACATGGACAATTCATTCACACATTCGCTGATAGACAATGCTGGCGGCAATAACTACCAACATCGCCGACGTATCCACACATTTACAGCTTCAGAAGGACTCGAGGGAGCAAGAGCTACTTTAAAGATTCAATTGTTAGACAAATCACACTTGACACCGACTATGTACCTAGCACTATTCTAGACCCAGGGAAGAACAAAGGACAAAAATGGGAGTCTGAACTCTTCTCTGAACACTTCTATTTTGCAAGGTAGCAAAACTATCAGCCAGCTGAGAAGCAGCGCAGGGAAGAGCTGCGGAAGAGAAAGGTGCGATGAGGAAGACAATGATGGGGGCTCCTCCTAAAACCCAGCCTCCCTGGAGGGATCACTGAGTTAGGATCAGGTCGGGAGGGATTGTCCTTATGGCTCTTAGGTCATGGGCTCAGGGCTCTGATTTTCCTTGGGGCTCCTAGGTCTTGGACTCAGGGCTTTGATTTCTCTGATCCTGTCCTGGTCTCTAGGCTCCAGAGTTGTCATTAGAATCTCCTTTATGTTCCAAGGTCACCAGCTGTGTGACGCAGTTTATTCATAGAAATTTCTGGCTGGAAGAAGTAGAAGACAACACAACTAAATCATCAGCGGCCACTGTCACAGAAGGAGCTATTAGAAAGCCACACCAGTACGGGCCAAATAACTCAATCCCCCAAATAATTCTATTTCTACTACAGCTTGAAGAAAATATTTAAAGGATGGCTACTTCTAATGTAAATGGAGAAATAAATAAAATTAGTGAATCGGAAGTATTTCCCATGTGTCATGTTGACCCAAGAAGGAGAGAAAAATAGCAGCTGACATTCATGGTCCACGGGAGTGCCAGGATGGATTGCCTAAGAAGACATTCTTAGAGATGAGGAGCTTTGGTTCAGTCCCGGGTAACAGGAGTGTATCCAAGGTCACACAGGTTCACAGTGGTAGCTGCTCTTTGGTACTTATGCATGGCTTCACTCTAAAGGCCACAGAAAGGCTCGGTGTGTAGACAATTAAAATGTCCAGCCTCCTGCTGCGTATCACCCTCTCTAGCCTCAACAACCAGTTTCTTTAAAAAGAAAAGCTCAGTTTTGTTCTCCTCTACCCAATCCCCCCAAAACCATTTCTTTTATTTCTGTGTTTATTTACGTTAGCTGTGCTTATATGTGTGTGAGAGTGTATGTATAATGAGTGTGACGGCATGCACACCTGTGTGCACATGGATCTCAGGAGAGGGCACTGGGGATGGAGTTACGAGTGTTTATGGGACAACCCTCCCAACTTCTTTTCAGGGTGCTGAGATCCAGACTCTGCTCCTCATGATTCAGCGGCGAGAGCTTTAAACCACAGAGTAATCTCGTCAGCCCCAAACAAGCTACTTCTTCTTCTTCTTTTTTTTTTAAGATTTACTTATTATGTATACAGTGCAGGCCAGAAGAGTGCACCTAGTCTCATTACAGATGGTTGTGAGCCACCATGTGGTTGCTGGGAATTGAACTCAGGACCTTTGGAAGAGCAGGCAAAGTTCTTAACCACTGAGCCATCTCTTCAGCCCCAAACAGGCTTCTTCTAATGATGCTTAATAAACCTTCATGAACTGTCTTCTGCCCAGAGCATATTTTTCTATGTTGGCCCCTTGCAGCAGGTTTGGCTCCCATGTCAGTTGTGATCAGAGACTGGAAATAAAGATCACTTAAGTTTTCCATCCATAAAGGTAAGTATAGAGACAAGGCTCCCGATAGTCATTTTGCCAAGGCCATGTGGCCCTTTAAATGCATTCCATTAGATCTCCAAGTCTCTGTTTGCACGGTGAAGGACTTTCTTCCTTTGAAAGTAGCTGACAATCAGCCAAGAAGAAATATTAAGATGGGCTCATAGGGAATCAATGAAACCAATGGTCCCCAGGAGAAGCAAGGCTTGCCAAATAAATCAGTTTCCTCCAGAGCGATTATGGGGACAAGCCATGCTATTGTCTCCATTCACTGTGCTGTTCCCATTTTTGTTCCTTCCAGAACATTCCTCCTCCAAATGAGGAAGTGACCAACTTCCAAAATAAAGACTACGTGTTAAAGGAGCAAATTACACCAATCATGTAGCAGTGACATCGCGTCTTTGTTTTCCTTCCCGAGCCCTGGATGTTCACTTCTGGGAACCTATCCCACATCCTGCTCCTGTGCCCGCCTGAATCAGAGGCCTGCCATGCACGGATCTGAATAGATGGTGATTGCTTCTGAAGTCCCACCCCCCCCCAAGGATTAAAACACATATTATGAAATTATAGCAACAAACATTCCCTTCACCGAAGGCTTACTTATCTCAAAAATGGGGGAGAGCCTGAATGGTTGAAAACAAAACTATCATTCGGACAGAAATATATTCCTCACCAATTAATATCTGCAGATTGATAGTCCTATAATCTGAATTCAATGGCCTGCAAACCACCATGTAGTATCAGAGTCCTTCCTTGACCCATCATATGTGCAGTGTGTTGGCTTCAGTATGAGCTGATCATGGACCATGCTGTGACGGGGAGTAGAAGGGCAGACATATGCTGTCCTTGGTCAAAACCTGAACACTTTGTCAAGGTGACTAACCGAGCCTTCCAATTTGGCTTATGGCCACTGTCCTCTTTTTATGTCACAGGGAGCCTAAAGTCATCAGCAGAATTCCTCTTAGGGTCACACTACACCCATCTGAAGAGCAGAATGAGAGACACCTGGGGAGCCAAGACAGAGGACAAGATGTGAGGGGCGCTAAGGCAGTCAGTCTGCCCAGGATCCCAGAAAGTTTCTAAGATCCGTGCCATTTTGATTTTACTCCTTCATGGCTTCACTACTAAATCTTCTGATGACTACATGACAAAAAGGTAGATCTCTAAATGCATCTACTTTTTTATCGATAGATAACAGAAATAGAGATATGGCCCCATTGGTAGAGTGATTGTCTAGCATCCTTGAAGCCCTGAGTTCAGTTCCCAGCACCGCATAAGACTGAATATGGCTGTGCACCCTGTAATCTCAGCATTCAGGATGTGGAGACAAAAAGAGCAAAAATTCAAGGTCATTTTAGACTACATAGTGAGTTTGAGGCTAGCCATGGCTATATAGAAAAGAAATCAATGGTTAGAGAGTCACTGAACAGTGAATAAATTTTTTTTTTTTTTTTTACAAATTTAGGCTTTTCCCAAAGAGCCACATCAATTTATTGGTAGATTTTGATCGGTCATTGTACAGATATCTTAATTTTAAAACTGTAATACTTTTCATAGATGCTCAAGGTCACATATTCTTTGCTGATCATATAACTCTCACCATTCAATCCTAAAACACAGGAAATGTATTGAGTGTTCTCCAACAAGACTTACGCTGAGAGCAGTCACTGCCGATCCAGCCTGGGTAGCACTGACAGGACCTGTCGATGGGGTTGCAGGTGCCATTGTTGGTGCAGGTGCAAACGCCCGCACAGTTTTTCCCAAATCTGCCACTGGGACACACTGTGAACAGACAGAGTTCAGTCAGCTAGAGTTGGAACCCATCACACAGAACCCCGAGAATGAGAGACAAATTCCAGGGTCACACCCAGCTGCCCACTGCCGGCCTGCCTCCACTTAAGAGATCACGTATGCTAATCCCAGATGGGCTCATTTTTACAAACACGTGGAACCAAAGGCCTTATTCTGTCATCTCAGAAAGAAACTGTGGTGTTCGTAGAACTCTGACTTGTGGTTTCTCCCTCAGGGAATCAAAATCCTTTCTCAAGTTGACTTTTCATGAGTGGATGGTTCCAGTGTCATTATAAGACACAGCCAAGGGAGCATCGGGAAGTTTGATCCTCCCCACGGCTCTCCAGGGTGCCCGGGTGCTTACCTTCATTGCACAGGGCTCCCGTGAAGCCAGGCAAGCAGTCACACAGGCCTGTGATGTGGTGGCAGGGCCCGCTGCTGTGCACACACTGTGGGCATGTCTGGCTACAGCGATGTCCGTAAAACCCCGGGGAGCAGACTGCAAATAGGATGGTAGCACATGGTTACCTTTCTGAGTTGGGCCTATCTCCTGTTCCACTCAGAGATCTAGTTAGAATGGAGAAATAAGAAAACTTAAAAAAACGACAATGAGGATTTTTCAGGTGTGGAACAAGAAGGGCAGCTTTTAACAAAGGAGGAAGCCACTAATCTCCGAATTTCACTGGCATGAGGGAATGTCACGGATAGACCTCACTGTCCTCCTATGGTCAGCTCAAGGCCAGGCCTAGACCATCAGAGACATTTGTTAAATGAATAAGGAAATGGGGAAAAAAACCTTCAAGTATCAATGCCTAAATTATTACCAAGCCATTTGTTGGTCCTTTATTATTTAAGAACCTTACCTGGCCAAAAAAAAAAAAAAAAAGATAAATGCTCAAAATTCAAAGACCTTTCACCTTTCTCCTTCAAAAAAGTTGTGGTTAGAGAGTACAAGTATACAAAATGCTGTGGATTTGGATGCTTCCAATACTTTATTTGAATTTAAATACAGAATGACTGCATTGAACTCTGAGTGAAAAAAGAAATTGATCTGCGAAATTACAACAGTGTATGCAATAACTTTTCTTATTACATTTACCGAAAGATTTAGTAAAATCTCACAGACCCTTTCTTAATTCGAGGCTTCTACGAAGTCCGCGTCAACAGCCCCCATTTTTAACTTTGAAGTCTGCTTTCTCCCCAGCACTGACTTTCAGCTTACTAGTGAGGTGTGGGATTGCCTTGAGGTTTGGCTGATGTTAACTTCTGGTAATTGAGGTGAGGCTGACGCCAAATTGCTGAATAAAATATTTACAGGTCAGTGAATTTCTGGAACACCATTTGCACCCTCTGAGGAAGAAATGAGAATCGCGTCCTGATGATGAGGCCCACGAGGTAATGAAATCATCACTGGGAAGAAAGGGTTAACGCCCCCATCTGTTAAGCTCATCCTAGAGGTTGAAAAGAATGCAGTTCTTGGGGAAGTGTCATTTGAGGGCAGTGACAGTTCTTCAAAGACCGCTCTGCCCTTGACCGCCACAAAACATCACTAGAAACTAAACGGTAGAACAGAGACCGATCTACACGTAATTCCCGGGAAGAGGAGCGCAGAGACCTAGGAGACTCTTACTTCTCTGACAAGAGGTGCCTCGGAATCCGGGTGCGCATTCACAGATGCCGTCGTCAGGAGAACAAGAAGCCCCATTTTTACAATGGCAGGGCAGCGAGCAGTTAGGACCCCAGCGTCCCTCGGCGCACACACTGTCACAGTGCACACCTGAAACACACACAGGGCAGGGCTGAGGAGGGTGCAGTGCCGGCATCCGAGGATGCCAATCCATAAAGGGGTTCAAGGATGGCGTAAACACCACTGCTGCAGAGAACACTGGACAGAGATGACACCAGGCTTAAAACACACTTACCATCGCCCGCAGACACAGACACAGAGTCATTCGAATGTTAACGAATACCCAGAATTCCCTCCTATGCTGCCAAGGAGAAAATACTTTCACTGAATTGATTTTTTTCTTCTTTAATAGGAGGGAGCATCGGGAAGCCCGAGGGCTCTGTCTGTTGAAGGCAAAATTTATCAAAAAAAAAAAAAGACTATTGATTTCCTATTTATCCCCCCACCCATTCTTTGCTTTTACAGAGAAATGAACAAAGGGTACAACGATCAGACAAAGCACAAAATGATTAAATTCTTTTACATGAAGGAAGCCCTACTGGGGACAGGGTAGGGTAAACAAGGAGACGCAATCCTAAAGTACTTCAACGATGTATTGTGCGGGATACACTGATGTGCTCAAACGCATCACCAATTTCATTCCTAAAAAATTTGTTTCCATCTGGATAGATAGAGGCAGACTATCCCAGCCAATGTCATGTATGTGCTATTGTCTGAGTCACTGCTATGAAACTGTATGGAGCTATTTAAGGTTTTGTTTGGGAAATAAAGGAACTTTAAGTCATTCATGACCCAGTGAACCGATTTCTACAGGAAGCCGGGCCTGCAAGAATGAAAATAAAGCCAGGCATTAATGGAGGCGAAGGAAAGTTCTGGAAGCTTGTATCTGAAATACAACAGGGATCTCTTTGCTACATCAGCTTCTCAGAGCCCTTCACCTGCAGAGGGAAGAGTTCTGACCAGGGCTGCACGGGTGACTGCTGGCATCAGAACAAGTGAGAACACGCAAGGACATGCTCAATCCAGGATTCCAGAAATTTCACAGCGGCCCTGCCTGGAGGATGATGGGTAGGCCATACCACATTTTGCTTGCCTTTTTGGAGAAAAGGTTATTGTGCCCTGAACCTGATATGGAAAGCATTGTAGAGGATCTTAAATATGTCACCAGTTGGTATAAGGCAATTTCTGTAAAATAATAAATCTCTGCTTTTTCCTGTCACCGTTTCCATCCCCCAGCAAAGGCCTTAGCTTCACTCAGGTTAGCTACAGACATTGATTCCAGAGGAAACCAGTTCTGGATATAAACTGATGAGGGGCGGCTAAATGTCCCCCACAGGATAAATAAATAAAACATGGGCCTGCTGTTCTTTCCTGTGTTCATACACACATCTTACTTTTCAAGGTCTTTTGGAAAGCTGAGACACACTTGCAAATTCCACACTCTCTGAATACGAAGCACCAACCGTGGCATTTCAGGTGATTTTTTTGTTTGTTTGTTTGTTTTGTTTTTAATTTATTAGATTTTTTTTAAAAAATACTAATCCAAATTTCCACTCCCCCCCCTTCTCCCATTCCCTTCATACACCCTCCCACCCACCCCACTCTAATCCTAAGAGAGGATAAGGCACTTTGCTTTGTGGAAGGCCCAAGATCCTCCCTTCTACATCGAGGCTGAGCAAGGTATACATCCAAAGAGAATAGGATCTCAAAAAGCCAGTACATGCAGTAGGGATAAATCCCAGTGCCACTGCCAGTGGCCCCGCAGTCTGCCCCAGCCATACAACTGTCATTCACATTCAGAGGAACTAGTCTGGTCCTATGCTTGTTCCTTCCCAGTCCAGCTGGAGTTGGTGAGCTCCCATTAGCTCAGGTAAACTGTTTCAGTAGATAAAAACCTTCATGTAGTCAGACTGATGATTATCTTAAATATTACCATAGAACCTTTATCCAACAACAGATGAAAACAGAGGCAGAGACTCACAACGGAGCACTGGACTGAGCTCCCAAGGTCCAGCTGAAGAGTGTAAGAAATGAGAATATGAGCAAAGAGGTCAGGTGATTTTTTTTAAGCCAATTCCTCTACCACATAGAACTGTAAGGCATTCGGAGCAGCAGTGAACTTGGGAGTAGGCTGCAAATGTAAGCTTTGCTTTGCGTCTGAAGAAAGAACTATCACGGGTAACCTGCCTGGGGCTTTCCTTGCGACTGGAACTCAGGTTTTCCATCCTCACTGTAAGCCAAGGCCCCTGTTTGACAGCCAAGGTGGTAAGGGACCACCTGCTTCATAGATTCACATGTCCCTCGGCATTTTGACCCAGATCCATTCAGGCTAATCTCAACAAGAAGCCCGAGGAAGTAGAACCCAAATAATTATTCAGCTAACCTTATAATCATTCTGAAAATTAGTTCTAATTTCTTAATACTTTTTTTTAATGTGGAGTGGGGTTTGAAGCACAAGACTTGGCCATTTAAAGTGTCTTAATTTATCAATTATTGGCCAAATCACATTACAGTTAAATTCAGCCATAATGGAATGGAGTATATTTCAGGCCAAAAGTACACACATGGTTCTCTAGGGGAACAGAACTGATATAATAAATTTATATGTGTGTGTGATCTCTAGTATATATTTTTATAAGTATGCATATATATGGAGTTTATTAGAGCGGATTACATTTACAGGCTGTGATACAGCTAGTCTAACAATGGCTGTCTATCAACAGATAGTCCAAGAATCCAGCAGCTGTTCAGTCCACACAGCTGGATCTCTCAGAGAAGTAGGTTCTAATGCCAGTGAAGGAATGAACTCGCTGGTAAGAGCGAGAGCAAGCAGGCAAAGGGGTTTCTTCCATGTCCTTTATATAGGATGCTACCGGAAGGGGGCCCAGGTTAAAGAGGGCTCTTCTCACTCTAAATGATTTAACAAAAACAAAAACCAAACCAACCAAACAAAAAAACCCTGACAGGTGCACACTGCCATTTGGGTTTTAGATTAATTCCAGATGCAGTCAGGTTGACAACCAAGAATAGCCATTACATTGGCTTTGGATATTACAGGTTAGCATGATTAGTGGATAAGCACACAAAGCTGGTTGTAAAATATGACTGAAGATTAGCAATCAAAATTAAGTGATCCCACACTTGGTCTTTGATTCCTCTTCCCTCAAGAGGTTCTTCCAGCTGACTAGCATATCCATCTGTCATGACCAGCTTCACCATTCACTTTCCCAGTCAGAAGAAAGCGCCATAGAATAGCCAGACAGTCCATTAAAAAACAAACAAACACACTATGTTTCACATGATTTACCCAGCATTTAGTTCCAGAGACTGTCTCCAGTCCTAGAAATGTATTTCGGCAGAACCGAACTCGCTTTTTAAATAACTTCGGTTTCTTAAGTTTTAGGGTCATGACGGAATCTTTCCATTGAATGTAAATTATAAACATTCCATTTTCCATTCTTTCTTTGAAATTCAAGCTCTCCTATTTTATTCTCTGTGATAAAGGCGTTATCATTTTGCATATATTAATGCCTAATCTATTTTTGAGATAAGTATCAGACATGAGACAAGCCCACAGAAAAGTAGGCTCCTTAGTCCCCCATTGCTACCTCTCCTCAGACTCTTCATGACTCTTGCCATCTCTTCTCTATTATATATTCAGGGAAGGGCTTGATACATCTATTATTGCTGGGAATCTTCTTTCTCTAGGGATTATTAATATTGCAAGACGGCACACATTTTGAGAGTCTAAGAAGTAAATACCTAATTATAAAATTTCAGGCAATGAGAGTCAAAATTAAATCCTGCATAAGTGTTTCTTTGAATCACTTCCTGGTCTCAGGTTGAGGCTGTGAGCTGCGTAAAAACACAACCTTGCAGTGAGGCGTGTTCCAAGCTGAAAAGGTATTGAAAGAGTTGTAAGCTTGCTCTAGCCCCTCCCCCTCTCTTTATTTCTACTGCTCTCATATTTGCCCACTCTGAGAGAGTCCTCTGAAACATATTTTTGTTTCCTTGTTTGTCAAAGATGAAAAATAATTTAAGATAATATGCCTTCTAGGAATCTAGCCAGTGCTGACTTGTTGGTGAGACAAAAAATGTGAACTGCAGAAGATAAACTCCAAAAAAGTTAACTCCAGCTGATAAAGCCCTGGGACATGCCCCCAACTCTGTCTAGTGTCCTGGACCAAGGGAGGAGGGAAAATGGTTCTAGGCTGAGGGAACAGTAGCTACAAGACTCAGAGTCCCAAGAAGCATTTAGAAATCTTCTAGGATTAAATGCTTGGGCCAGAATTAAAAAAAAAAAAGAAAGAAAAGAAATCTTCTAGGAATTACCAAAGTTGGGAACAGCTGGAACTTAGGAACTAGAAATACTGGTTGAAGCGTGTGGCCAGCCATGAGCTCATAGAGAATAGCTAAGAGCACCATAAGGTGGAGGGAGAGACCCCACCCCTGCACCACACCATATTTGCAGAGACCCAGTGAGGGATGGCATAGATGAATTCATGTTTTATCAGAGAGTAGATGAACATGGGAAGACATGAGTCTTGAAGACAAAAAGTTGGGTGACGAGTTGAGATTGAGGGGGTGAAACTGAGAAGGATGAGAAGGCACTGAACAAAACCCGGTGCAGGGGAGGAAGAATTCTAGAGACTGGTGGAGCAGACGCAGATGGAATGTTCCTCTGTTCCTGACCCTACCCCGGACAACTCATTCTGTCAGCTGGGAGAGCGAGAGAGCCCGGCTGTGCTGTCTGGGAACTAACACACATGGTTAACAACTAATGGTTGGCCCTGTGTGCCGGTGTGCCTCGATTCACAGAGGTGATGTCTCGGTGTGCCTGTGGGGGGTTTGCAGAGAGAATATGTGAGTGGTGGGAGAACACTTGCCCTGGATGTGGGGGCCCAGAAGGATAGAAGTAGCTAGAGCAGGAAGAAGCCAACACATAGTCCGCATGTGTGCAGGCACCTTTTCCTTCCTGGGTCAGAAAGGCAAACTTTTGGGTGCTGAGAGCTGTTACTCCCTACTAAAGAGAAATAGAAAAATAATGAGATACCATAAGATGTTTTCTTTGGGATATCCACTAAGGAACA